AGAGAGGGGTGTACATCGATCCGGCATGGACTGTGCCGGAGCTACGGGCAACGGTGCTCGAGAACCGGGAACTGGTTGCCAAGATGGCAATGGGTCTCTCACGCTTCAACCTGGAGGAGCTGACGAAGATGTGCGTGGACCTCAAGATCGCATTGCCTACAAAGCAGACCAAGGGGGAACTTACGAAGCTCTTGAGGACAGCCTACAGCGGGCACGCGAACGAGGAGATCGACTTTGGGCGCCACAAGGGAACTCTTTACAAGGACGTACCGATGGAGTACCAGAAATGGGCGATCAAGGAGACGGAGGCGAACGAAGAGCCATCGCTCAACCTGGTGAAGTTCACGGTGTGGCCAAGAAGAACCTCGAGGCCAAGAAGGTGAAGGCGCTGGAGGTGGATATCGAGGAGGTTGCGGTGATACCTGTGCCCGACACCAAGGTGGACACCAAGGTCATGGTGGATATGAAGGTGACAACCAAGGCGGCGAACCAGGACAAGAACAAGAAGATGGCGACGACTTCCACGACTGCCAGGAAGAGGGAGACGGCGACCGACTCAGACGACTCATGGATGAGGATGGAGACGCAGTCAGATCCGGAGGCTCTGGAGAAGATCATGCAGCTGGAGACGGAACTGGCTTTGCTGAGAAGGGCGCAGCACATCGACCCTCGAGGAACGAGGTCAAGCGGAGGCAGTACTGGCAGCGGAGAAAGTGCTTGATGCAGGAAGCCAGGATCGCTCGGGAAATCCAGAAGCTTGGTGTCGACGCGGCGGCGAAGACCTATGGCGAGAACGGCGCGGGCGATGACAAGGACTACCAGGAGGGCATGGACCGGGACTTGGACAACAACGGCGGCTTCGACCAGGACGAGGAGTTGGACATCGGCAAGTGCCATGGGAAAAGGGTGAAGAAGGCGACAAGGAAGATGTTGACATCCTGGGTCCGGAAGTCTTGGCAAGCCTTTGCGCTTTTGACGTCAGCCCTGGCGACACCTTTGCTGGCGGAAGCCCAGGCTACCTTAGTAGAGCCGATCCTGGACATCAAGAATGTCTTCTGCAGACCAGAGGTGAACGAAGAGCAGCCCTATGTGCTGGAGATCTTCTCGGGAAAGGCAAGAATAACCCAGGCTTTCGCGGCAAAAGGGAAGGTGGTGATGGAGCCTCGGGATATATGCAACGGCCACGACATAAGGAGTCCAGAGACGAGAAGGGCGATCCTAGACGACATTAACGAGTTCAAGCCGAAGCTGGTCTGGTTGGCACCACCCTGTACGTTTTGGAGTACATAGACAAGGATAAACTTCCATGGCCGCGAACAGGAACTTCGGAGGAGACGTAGTAAGGAGAGGGTTTTCCTGGAATTGGTGGAGGAGTGCGCGAGACTGCAGGTCGCGGGTGGAAGACACTTCATCATGGAAAACCCCGAACACAGCGCCATTTGGGAAGTCAACCGGATAAAGAACGTCAAGAAGGACCTGAGGCTGCACGAGTCCAACTTGGACATGTGCGGCTACGGATTACAGGCAGTTACAGATGGACGAGCCTTGAAGAAGCCGACCAAGCTGCTGGTGAGTCACTACGGTATGGCTGAGGACCTGGGAAGGCGTTGCAACCGGCAGCACGACCACGGACAAACGGCAGGGACAAACACTGCGGCCTCGGCATGTTATACGTGGGAGTTCGCGAGGGCCGTGGTGCGCGCGACAGAGAAGGTAGAGAAGATGCTGCATTCAGCCTATGTGGCGGACGTTGAGATCGGCATGAACGACGAAGAAGGCGACGAGGAGCTGGTGGCGGACCACGAGTGGCAGGGTGCGGCTGGTATAACGCTGCCGAAGACGGTTCCCAAGCAGATGGCGGCGGCTCTCAGACGGGTACATCAAAATCTGGGACATCCAAGCAACACTGATCTAGCCCGGCATCTTCGTCTGAGCGGCGCGACAGATGCGGCTGTGAAGGGTGCAGAGCAGCTTCGGTGCCAGACATGCCTATGCACGAAGAGACCAGGGCCTCAAAGGCCGGTGAAGCTGGTGCTACCGATGGACTTCAACGACGAGGTTGCTGTGGATATATTCTACTTGTACGACAAGGACCAGATGAAACACACTGTACTGTCGGCAATGGACATGGCCTCCGGGTACCACGTGTGTCGGACCATCACAAGCAGACTCTCCAAGGACCTGGCAGAGACTGTGCGACAGATGTGGCTGGAATGGGCTGGGTCGCCAAAGAGGATGGTGTGCGATCAGGAGCGCGGTTTTCAGAAGGACTACGTTGACCGTATGGAGCAGCAGCAGATCCACGTCAAGTACATCGCTGGACAGGCTCATTGGCAACTGGGGTCACTGGAGAGGCAACAAGGGTGGCTTCGGTCTATGTGGGATAAAGTTGTGGAGCACGAGGGCATCGACTACACGGAGGTGGACTGGACGCTAGCCCAGTTGGTCCACGCCAAGAACAGTCTGAGGAGACGAGACGGGTACTCACCCTCGCAATGGGTATTTGGTGTGGAACCACGTATGGAGCACGGACTGCGAGATGGAGGACATGACGGTCAAGGACAGCCTGACACGGTAGGAGGAGCATGGAGCCGGAAGACGGCTTTGCAACGGGCAGCGAGAAAGGCCTTCTACGAGAGCCAGGCGAACGAGACGATGAAGAGGGCGGCCCTCGGACGACCTCGAGTCCGGAGGCACGAGTATCAGACCGGCGACATCGTCTACATCTATCGGGTGATGAAGACTGCGGGCGGTGCTGGGCGAGTACGGCAAGGTGCTGGACAGTGGATAGGCCCGGGCACAGTGATCGGCAGCGAGGGCGAGTCAATATGGGTGTCGCGTGGGGGACGGTGTTTGTTGTGTGCCAAGGAGCACTTGCGACCGGCTGAGTCTGAAGAGCTGGGCACGTTGTTTCAAGCACAGTCAATGCAGCGGGATTTGAAGCGACTGATGGAACGGATCGAGGACGACGACGTGGAGGATGAGGAGATCTTCAAGGAAGTGCCGGCCGTTCTGGAAAAGACCGAGGCAAACCAAGTGGCGTCAGACCGGAAAAGATCCTGGCCAGATGGGGTACCTCGCAAGAGGATGAGGCAGAAAGGGCCTATACCAGCGCCTGAAGAGATGGAGTTGGACGATGAGCCCTACACGCCCAGCCCCCTGACGAGGCGCTTTGGACGACACAGAAGAGGACACCTAAGACTATGGCTAAGCAACAGGACAAGGAGATCGCGTGGAAGGACATCCCGGAGAATGAGAAGCCACTCTACTTGCAGGCCGAGCAGAAGCAGTGGCAAGAGCACCTGCTGTATGGGGCGGTGCGGGTCCTGAGCGTGGACGAGAGCAGGCGTGTGAAAAAGGAGGTTGATCCTAGTCGCATCTTGACGGCCCGCTTCGCATACCGGGATAAGAACGCGGCAAAAGAGGAGAGCCGACCCGAGCGTACCACCGAAGCCAAAAGCCAGGCTCTGTATAGCCGGGCACCGCGACCCTAACCTGACAACCGGAACGTTAAACACGGAAGCCCCTACGGTCACGAAGAGCTCGCTGTGGACACTATTAGCAGTTGCGGCTCAGATGGAGTGGAAACTGGCAGCTGGGGACATCCAGGCGGCGTTCCTGAACGGTGAGGAAGCACGCAGGGATCTGTACATGCGACAGCCTGTCAGAGGACTTCCCGGCATGCACGAGGAGCAGATTGTGGAGGTGGTGAAGGGCATCTTCGGACTGGCTACATCGCCGAGGCTGTGGTGGAAAAGATTGGCATCCGAGCTCACGGCCATGGAAATTTGCATCAAGGGAGAAAAACTCACACTACACCACCATGTGCTCGATAGTTGCATGTTTATCCTCCGCGACGAGAGCGGTGAGATGCGGGGTGCCCTGGTGACGCATGTCGACGACATCTTGCTCGCGGCCCCTAAGGAGGAGATCACAGAACTACAGAAGAACCTGTCGGGCATCTTTCCTATATCAGAGTGGGAGAGCGATACCTTCGAGTACATCGGTTCGGACATTGAGCAGAACGACAACGGCATCCACGTGGGACAGAGCAGCTACGTCAAGTCGAGGTTGGAGACCGTGGACATCCCGAAGGGCGTGAATCCGGAGGATGTGGCGGACGAGGTCACGAGGTTGGACAATCAGTCCGTGGTAGGAGGATTGTCCTGGTTGGCATCACAGACCAGACCGGACTTGCAAACAGGAGTGTCAATGGCGCAGAGGAAGCAGAAACACCCGACCTACGCGGACGTCAAGGAGACGAATAAGGTGGTGAAGTTGGCACAGGAGAATAAGGACGAGAGGCTGATCTTCCGGAAGGTGGGCGAGAAATGGGAGGACCTGGTGATCTTGGCCTTCCACGATGCGGCCTGGGCCAACGCACCGGAGGTGCGCGAAGAGGCTGGCGACTTGGAGATGCCAAACGGCGTGGGGATCTACTCGCAGTTGGGGCACATACTGATGCTGACCCACAGAGACGTCTTGGAGGGTAAGGAGGCGAACGCCATGATCTGCGGGTGGAAATCGCACGCTTGCGATCGGGTTTGCAGAAGCACTTTCGCTGCGGAGACGATGGCGGCTATGGAAGGGCTCGAGAGCGCGATGGCCTTCCGGGCGAGCTTGGTGGGGACCTTGCTGGGGGGAGGCCTGAGCGAAGAACGTTGCCGGCATGTCATCCCGATCGTGCCGATCACCGATTGCAGATCGCTCTATGATACGGCCAAACGTGAAGGCGGACCAAGGGCTCCTTCAGAGCGACGGCTGGTGGTGGACCTGGCAGCACTCCGGCAAATCTTGGAGGACGAGAACAACACATGGGGCCGGAAGCTCGCTTGGCCGACCGCGATGCGGTGGGTACCTACGGACTATCAGATGGCAGACGTCCTCACAAAGGTGAAGAATGCTAAGACGTGGTGGGCGTCAGCTAGGTCTGTAAAGCTACCTTTTGGCCAGAGGGCAACATAGACTCGGGGCGTGTGAATTCAAATGGAATCCCGCCGTGCCCTCTGGCTCCGTACAGGCATTTGTTTATGTGTGTGTGTAGAAAAGGGCCGGCATGCAGCTTTGAGAAGGGCATCTTCTGGCTTCGTCGGGACCTACCCCAAGGGCGTTTACAGGACCAATTCGTCATCGACGTCCACATCGTAATTACATTGGTGAAAAATGCGTCAGTCCATCATGCTCAATCTGGTTCTTCGCATTTATAGGGTGGAAATGACTCGCAAACAAAACTCCAACGACGTGCGCTTTTTTTCCGCCAAACTACTCAAAATCCGCCATGCATTTGTCGTGCAAAGCTGCGCACATCTTGGATAGTTTGGTGAGAAAGTCACCCGCGGTTGTGGCTCCTACATGTTTTCGCCGCATCCATTGATAAACCATTTTTTGGATATCAGGGTTCACAATTTATTCATTGGCCTTTTTGATTTTAGCTACCAACTTCGGTAGCCAGCTCTTCAGGGATAACCAACTGCGATCTATGATTTGTGTTCCACTTAGGGTTGAAATCAGACTGGAGTTCGGGACGTCAAAAAGCTTTGTGAACACTTTTAGTTGATGTGAAACACTATCATGTTTTAGAGCTAAGTCTTTACAACAGCCAGCCCACGCACGGTTGCCGTCGGCAAAAATCACACTTCCCTTCTTGCGAATCTTTCGGAGCAATCCAGAAGCTTGAATTTGACTGTTGCTTTCTGTAGGTGGGCGAGCACCGGGCACGGAAACCTGAGACATGAAAGACAACAGGTTTTATTAATGCAACATATACATCTCATTGTTGCAACAGAGATTGTAGAGGAAACGGCTTCCACAGGAACGTGATCAGCGCCCCACCCCACCCCAATGGCGTAGCAGCACAAACGTGATAACTGTGTGGCGTAGCAACAACAAACGGTCATCAGTGCCACCCCACCCCAACCCCACGTCATGTGAAATACGTAAAAAAAAACTGCTAAAAACGAACGGCCGTCTGTAAGCCGTGGTCCAACTACATGGACAAAAGGCTGGAAATTAAAAAGAAAAAACGTGGACACTTTGTGGACAAACAGGGCGTCCAACCCACATACTGAAAGCAGTTATGAAGCGGATATACTAAAGACAAAGCGGATAGTTCACGAACCCCCCAAAACATGTAATTACTAACAGGCTATTATTATGTATATGATAAATGTACATAGTTTTCTTGTTTTGCAAAAACATGTTCTTCGATAAAATGTTTTTCCTGCACACTGCACCCCTTCTTTCATGTTCTGTTAAAGTTTGTGCCAGGCAATAACACCAATGAACAACTCGTTACACATGTTCAAACTAAGATTAGGACAAACAAATCAAACGTATGACGACCCTCAGGCCGATACAGCCCAGCATGGCATTTCATGAGGCAAATTCCTACTCTTTTACAAATTCTAGGAGCAATATATTTTCCAACATGTTTCGCACAATTCTGCAACAAGGTTTGATGTTGGCTGACTGGTTGCCCGTGGTTGTTGTTGTTTTCTTGTGGGGAGGGGGGGGGGTAAGGGGAATAGTTCGCCCCCTCATTCAAAACAACAAGCTGCAATATGTTGCATCAATGAAGCAATACAGCGTATGGATCTTTGTGGATCAGTTCCGGCACGCTCTCTTCTGTTCTTGCCTGGTCAATGTCACGCAGGCTGTTTCAGGGTGCTGTGGCACGATTGCCTGGTGCTGTTGCATGGCTCTGCTGGCGAGCATGACGGACACAGGACGGGTGCGCTCGTAGGGTGCTGCGCTGGGGCCAACCATAGGCAACAGCCAACACCAAACACATGCCTTGCCATCAGGGGTCTATGCTGGCTTTCATATTTTTTTTGACTCAAAAAACTAACAAAACAACACCCCAATGCACTCACTCCAATTAATAAGAGGAGAACGCCTGCATGTGCTTGCCCGCTCGCCCGCCCTGCCACCCCCCCCCCATTCCACGCCAGACTAGGATCCGAATAGGTTTCATGCACATCAACAAAACCACCTGTGCACACATACAATTCATCCATGCACACACTGTGGGTCAAAAAGCCTGGACCATGCTTCTGCGTGCGTAGGCAAGCTCACTTTCATGACCTTGAATATGTATGGATCACTGAAACGCAACCAGGACCATAATCAGTGCATTTTCTTTGACTTTTTCGGCTGGCATTAGCTTCTGCGGTCTGCCATGATAGGCGCTGGCCGATCTCATTTCTCCTTCTTGGCCTCTTTCTTTGGCTCTTCCTTCTGTTTTGCTTCACCTTCCTTCTTGTCCTCTCATCCCACAAATCAACAATGCATCCACAAAGCAACACAAGTGGTGCACACCTCCAGCTCAGCTGGGCGTCGTTCTCTCCACTTCCTGGCTTCTTGCGGAGCGTGTTCATACACACATCAAGCCCGAAAACAAGGTTTCACGTGGAGTTCAGTCAAACAGCTCAACTGCAAGGCTGCAAGGCGTCCTCAACAGCCACTGGCACAGCTGATACATTGGTATCTGAGCTGAAGTGCTTCCACAGAGCGACAATGAGCTATCATATCTGGCTAAGGCGACAACTGGAAGTGCAAACGTCAGGAAGAACCTTAGATTCTTATGTAATGTGATTTTCTAGCTTCCCATGCTCCCTCTTCCTCCCAAAGCATCCTGGCATATGTTCGTTCAATCCCTCACACCTTTAACATGTCCATGCTCATGCCCACACGCCTTGTGTTGCTTTGTTCTCTCCTTCCGTGCATTTTGTAGATTTATTCCTTTTCTTCTTCGTGGCATATGCATTCAACTATTCCAATCTTCTACTCCTGAACTCTTTACCAGGTCCTGCTGCAAATATCCTGCTTCCGGTGGCTCTTGCGCTGAGCCTCATGCAGTGGAGGACCTTTGTTCTTCCAGTCGCTGTTGTGCACAGCTGCCTGGGCCTGCAGTGTGTAGGCAGGTTCTTCGCTCCAAATGCATCACAAGTCACGTCATAAAGTGTCTTGGCATGTCTTGGCTCGCAAGACGGATTTGTATGCCACTTACGCATGCACTTGATTCATTACGGACTTGTGGCCACCGGCATGCCGCCTGTGCCCTCAGCTGGGCCCACACTGAAGCAGACAGCTGCTGCATCTGACACACGCGGATTGGCCATGAGTCAGATACAACTTCAAGGCCTCAATGCCTCAAGGCCACAGGTCGGCAGAAAGCAAATTCGAAGCACAAAGGAAATTGCGAAATTGCACACTTCTGGCCTTCTCGATGGCTTCAGGACCTGGCCCATTGCAACGGGTGTCCCATGTCTAGATCCAAGGCTTGCCAGGCACACTTTCAGAGTACTCCACCCAATCCTGGGCATGTCACAGCATGTCACAGCATGTCATAGCATGTCGCAGACGAGCCGGAAGCTGAGGCCACGCTGAGCTTCACGCTCGTGGAAGGTCTGGGGGCCTCTGGCCTCAGAGAGCGGGCAATGTGAGACGAAGCCGGAAGAGAGGCCACGATGATGCCACGGTTACCCTCCACCCGACGCAAACTTGCACCAACTTGTCGGCCACGCCTCTTCTGATGGATGATGTGACTTTATGCAGCAAATCCAGCGCTGCTGTGGCTACTTCACCTGGAGTGGGAAACTAATATCAAGATATAATTGGAATGTCGCTTTGTTGGACATGCTTGTTGCCCAGCCTCCTTCAGCCTTTTTCCCAAAACAAACCATGGCCATGCGGAGAAGAGACAACTGGGCAGCCTGAGCAAGACTGCCCCGAGGCAAATGGCCAACAGTCAAACACCCACCTCCTCCCGAGAAAGATCGTTTTTGGCCAGCCGCCTCAACGCAACGTGGTGCTCAATCCCTATTCGTACACATGGTGCACAGTTGAACGGCTGTGGATCCCAGCTCTAAGATCTGCATGTCTTCTTTGGACAAAGAGCCGCCCAGCGTCTCTGTAGACATGGCGAAGCCTTTGGAACAAGCGCCATGGTCAAAGGCGTCACAGGCACCAAATTGCCAACATGCCGGGGGACAAGACGCTGCCCAAGCACTGTCAGCCTCAGTCGCCAAGGCTTTCGCTGGAATGGCTGACTTGAACGCAGCCTGTTCGTTCTGCTTGCGAGTCCTTCAGAGATCAAATCACGGGCAAACACAGTGCCATGGCAAACACAGGCCTTTGCAGCATCTCCATCTCCTGCTGTGCCTTGCTCAGATTCGCTTGCCCAGCTTTCAATTCCTGCAGGGACGCACATTTTGCGATTGATTTGCATTAGCCGGACTTCCACATCGCAAGCCTCAAGTTGCTTCTGGATGTCGTCGATATGGCTGAGCATCTCAGGATCCACCTTACTTGTTTGGCATTGAAATGAATCAGATTCATGCCAATTCCAGCCAAAGTTGCGTCCTCTTCTGAGAGCATGCCCTTCAGCCACAATACAGTGGGAGTGGAACAAAAGAAAGCTTTCCAAAATCAAACATGCAAGCAATGTTCACGGCACGATCGAACAAATCTCCATATTTGTGCCATTGGGACGCGTGATGGGCAGCCTTTTTTCGTTCCTGCTTCTTTCGTTCTACGTGTGCTCTGTGATTGAAGTGTCTCTCTATGTAGTGCATGCGCGTCCCTGTCTCCGTTTCTAACAACTACGAGAAATATATATATATATATATACATATATATATGTGTGTATATATATATATATATATGTATGTATATATATATATATATACAATCATATGTTTGCCTCGGCCCCCAGGGCCGGGAAGCGGTCAAACCCCTTCAGAACTTCTCCGCCGACCCACCCCATGTCGTGCAGCCAACATCCCTGCTACAGCCGCCTCCAGGCCGCCTGAAGCGATCTCCGGTCACATCCCCGAGAAACTCCTGTCCAGAGACCTTTCCAATCCGTAGAAGCCAAACTCCCCTCTACAAACCTGTCCAATCCCCTTGGACCCTGGTCCAACTCCGGCCAAATCCTTCCAAAAACCGGCACAATATTCCCGCCCTTAACCAGTCAAATTCAGCTTCGCTTGGCCCAAGCTCACTGCTGCAGCTCTCGTGCTGGTCCTTGAAGCCATGGAAAAATACGTAGACATGCACCCACCCTCTACCTTGGAAACCAGCTCACGCAAACACAAGACTTCAAGACAAACCAAAGCACGGTGAATACCTCAAAGCCAGCCAAAAGCAGACTGGCCGAGGCGGGTTACAATACATAGCTGCTGTACGTATATATATATATATATGTATATATATATATATATATGTATGCAGAACTACACACGATGCCAGGCCTTGCCGATTCTTTGTGTTGTCTAATGCGGGCGGTTCCGTTCAATTGAACACGCCATTCCTGGAGGGTGGCTAGACGGTATCAAACAAAGGGTAGAATGCCTGCAACAGTTTGCGGCCATTTTGGGCAGATGCGACAGGTTGATGTGATTTTGCACAAGCATGTTTTACTCCTGCTACACTTCAACTGATGTGGCATGTTGCGGCCAGCTCCGCGTGTGCGACGCAACATGGTGCCTGCATCATCTTGCAGTATTTTGCATTGCCTTTGACACTTAAGCCACCCCTGAATTCCTACGGTCCTACGCCCCTCTCAAACATTATCGGAAGCCCTGGCGGTCAGGGTCAGATATGCGGGAAGCCTTTGCGAGAAGCACAGCGCTCCAGAGCTGATTCCTGATTCGTAAGGCGGATCACGCAAACGTGGAATGCTTTCATGTGATCTTGTTGAAGAATCCGCTACTCATTTTCACTTGTTTGGTGGTCTTCCATTTCAACGCCTGGGCTGAGCGGTCCTGCAACGATCTCCCTATTGTAAGTGGCTCTCAGAGTGAAAACTTCGCACGTGTGAAGTATGCTGGCAGCAATGGAGGAAGGACATTCAAGAACCAAGATTGACGACTACAGGGGCATTCTCAAAAAACAACAACTGCATACTTCTATGTGCAAATTTGTACAACCACCTTCCCAGCAGAGGTGCGCACGTGCTTGCGATAGAGCTAGGCTCACAGTACTAGAATGCACGCTTGCCTTGTTGGACCCACACATTTGTGTCTTCTCTTGAAGTGCCTCTCTTGACCCTGCGGCTTCTTGTTCTCAATTTCCTTTGAGCCATTTCTTTTGCAAAGCAAGATTCAGCATTGTTTCCAGTCACACTGTCGCAACATTGCTCACAAGGCACAATGTCAACTCACATCAAAAACATATACAGAAATGCCTTGATCTTCGCATATCTTTCTTCTAGGTCTTCGTAACCTGGCACCCAGCCATCCAACTGAGAAGTGCTTTCAATGTCCTACAAGCCAGCAGCAGGGCAAGGCGCACGCCACTCAATCAAGTTCATGTCTTGCTGCAAACACCATGCCAGTTTGTGCTAGGTTCTGCAGCTGCCAAGACCATGCCATAAGGCACCAGTCCTGGGCGTGGCACAACTTATAATCTAGACTCCATTCTCTGAGTTGCGGCCTCCATGGAAACTTGGCCTTAGCAATAAACTGAGGCAGCAAAAACACACACCCACACAACACATACGCACGTGTGCCCTGCGAGGCATAAGACACCAGGCAAAAGCATTGCACCCAGAGCAAAGGCAGGATGTCTGCGGCACATGGCTGCAACCATGGCTCTCGTCAATGTATTGTCGTTGACATATGCCGCACAGGCTGCAAAGTGCGTGGATTTGCTCAACAATACGTAGAGTATTGCACAAACCCGTGCAAGCACTGCAATGGATGTGAATGTATGCCACGCAAGCCTGATTTCTTGTCATTTATCAGCCCAGTGCTGAGAGGGATTGTCATCTGTGATCTTTAATGTCCCCCTTGACACAAATTCTTGCCGAGCTCTAGGATCTTTGTAGACATTTAATCATGAACACTGCCAATGAAAGGTTGCTTTTTCCGGCATACGTGCGCTGTGTGCGATCTTTTGTCCTCATGTCCAGGCCACTGCGGACACCTGAAGGCAAGTCGGACCAGCTACAAACAGCGGGATTTACAAGCATGACATTTTTTCAAGTGGCTGGCATTACTCGTTTTTTTGCAGTGCTTTTCATCTTGCAGTACTTGAAAAGTACTCACACGGCTTGTTCAGAAGATTTGCTGCATGCCATGCAGCACCCCCGACAAGCCAAGCAGGCATTTCCACACCAGCTTGGCAGTATTGAATGGCCATTGACACTCTACAAACCAGCTTCTTTTGAGTGCCCTCGGTTCATTCTTTTGGGTGTATGCCCCATTTTGAAAAATAAGGTCACTGAATTCTAAATGAACAAGGTCACTTAAGCCATTTAAAGGGCACTTAGACCCTCAGGGTTGCCCTCCCCAGCAAATCCCTCCACCCAGCAGTCCAGGCAAATCTAGCCGCAGCGACACGCGAATGACACTCACGCAGGGGGAACTGACACTAGCAAAAGTGACCTTTTCAAGGGGTAAGTGACCTTGATTCGCACCCTTACTGACACTGAAATGACACGCTTTGACACATGTTCGGGCCATTCCGGGTCGGCCCCAATCAAATGTGGCAGTTGTCACACTTCGACACAGGTAGCTGTTTGATTTCAACAGGATCCCAACTCCATCAAGCCAAGGGCACTTAGCAAACGAATCAAAGGGGCACTTAGGGCACTGACACGGCCTTAAGTGGCCTCGATTCAAAAACACATCAAGTGACAATGATAGAAGGGCACTACAAATATGCTTGGAATACAAGTTTCTGATTCAGGCACATTATTATGGCTTTAGGCTTTCGGGACCTTTCAAATCTATATAGTTCTTGCTGCAGTCAGGACGCCACAGAGCTGGATACGTCGAACTGTACTTTGCAGAACGACTTCACCTGCAACTATCTGCTTCAGGCTCTCCAGACAGAACAGAACGGGCCGGCCTTTTGGGGCAACAAGCCAAAGTCAAGCTCGTAACGATATCGATATGCCTAAAATAACACGCAGGAAGCACACGGTCAAAACAACACCCTGAAAGCTGAGGAGCCTTCCAGCTCAATGTCAGAACTCGAGCCAGGTACACAAAATCACACCATCCAAGACAGCCGAGAGACTCGAATCAGCTGCTGCACGTGGCATCGCCTGCGCAGTGCGTCAATGCGGGCTGCATGTATGTTTATGTTCGTATGCAGGCACGCAAGAAACAATTCGCGCGGTCACCCCTTCCTCCAACCCCCCCGGCTCCATGTCGCGCGGCCAAAATCTCTGCTCCAGCTGCCTCCAGTCCGCCTGAAGTGAGCCTGGAAGCAGCCGGCCTCCAGGGCCGGGAGGTCAGATCCCTTCAACTTCAGGCAGATCCAAACTGGTCAAATCCCCTTCTAGAAGCCCAACTTCCCATCTAGCTCCGGTCAAATCTCGCTGGAAGCCGGTCAACTTCCTCCCCTCCACCACTCCAGTCAAATCCCCCTAGAAACCGGCCAAATTCCCGTTAAAGCAAATGCCTTAACCCCCAAAAAAAAAGAAGGTAGATTCGCTTCTAGAAGCCCGTCAAATCCCCTCTGAAAACAGGTCCAACTCCCATCAACTCTCTCTAGAAACCGTCAAAATCCAAAAAAAAGCCGTCCAATACCCCAGAAATTTGGATCTGCGCTTGGCCCACCGTTCTGTAGCTCTCTGCGGCTCTCGGCCTGGCCCTTGAAGCCACTTGGAAACCAGCTCACGCATTTCGGCGCCGACACACTCACTTTAATAACATCACTTCAAGGCAAGCTGAAGCACAGTATATACCTCAAAGCCAGCCAAAAGCGGACTGGCCGAGGCGGGCAACGCGAAGCGTTTACAATATATGGATATATATATATATATGTATGTATATATGTATATATATATATGTATATATATATATATGTATACGTGTATATTTATGTGTATATATATATATATGTGGTATCCCGCCGGAAGACTCAGGTTCTTGTAACATGCGCTGTCCAGCTTCTGGAAGCTATGCTCGAAAATGCACATTTTCCTATTTTTCTAACATCAGTACTTAGTGCAATCCAGGAAGTGCACTCCAGGATGTGCCAGCACATCCTGGATTCAGGATTGAAGATTCTCTTACAACTCTTTCTGTGAATGTTCAAATCTGTACTTAGGGCAATCCAGAATGTGCTAGTACGTGCTAGGACATGTTTATTAGTTTGTCCTATAGCGTGGATTTGAAGATTTCCAGACAAAGTGTCTGAGAATCTTAAATATTTAATCTTCAATCCAGGACTTGCTAGCGCATCCTGCAAGTACTGATTTGAAGAATCCCAGAAAGAGTTGTCAGAGAACCTTCAATCTTCAAGCTTCAATCCAAGATGCGCTAGCACGTCCTGGGTTGCCCAAGTATGGATTTGAAGAATCCAAAAAAGGCAGGCGAGGAGCGCGTTCCAAGAGTCAACTTGTGGATGTGCACCGCCTGCATTTTGCCAGGGAGAACCATGTGTTTTAAACCGCTTTACAGCTTTTTGGGGACTTGAGGGCTTGCCAGGGTGGACGATTCTCAAAAAAATAACATCTGGGAGTCTTCAATCTTCAATAGAAAACCTTCAAGAGTCTAGAAAAACTGTCAAGGTTTTTTGGGGCCAATATTGAGGATATTCTAGAACAATGTCTGCGGAATCTTGAAAAGTTGGCCTTCGATCCGGGGCAATGTGATCCGAGCGAATGCTGACAACCTCGTTTTGAAAAGAATTTTCTGTTGTTGGTTTGGCTCAGTTCTTGCTTGGTTGAAAACAAATGGAGTTCGATAAGGACAATAACCCTTATGAAATTGAGCTTGATTCCAACTGTAACTGGCCATGACAATAGCTGTATCGATCTTTGAGACGCATAAGAAACTGCAACCGGTTGAAGTTGAATTTGGTTTTAACTCGAAATCATTTCAAATCTGATGTCCTTCCTATCTTTGATTTTCAACAGTTGTTATCGACAATGATTGAATCGTAATAGACAAGTAACACACAGCTGAGATTTAACCACGCTATTGCACCACGCAAGGACATGAAGCCCTTTTGCATTTGATTTGGATGTCAGTTGCAAGTTCCTTTCCACCAAGTGGATGATTTGCAGAATTTCCTTGCAAAGCAAGAAAAATAAAACAGCATCATAGAGCTGTTGCAGGCACAATGAAGCTGCCAAAGCATATTTCGCGGGCTACTCTTGTAATGAAAAGTTGTGCTTTCTGAGCTGGGGCTGCCAAAGTGCACTTCGCATACCCCAACGTGACTTTAAGTGCACTTCGCGCACGCCAAGGCGACTTTCGAGCTGTTTAACTAGGAACTCTTTTCAAAGTTGAGCTTAGCTTGAGCTCGGTTGGACTTTGCATGGAGTTGCAAGTCCTGTCAAGTCAGTTGTCTGGCTAAAACCCTGAGTTCTGACCAGAAAACTGAGTATTTCAAGTGGGCTAACGTATTTATACATATATATATATATGTGCAAGGAAAGGCTCCTGAAAGCATCGAGCCCCGGGCTGAGTTGGAGTAAAAGGCTCCGCTTGATCCAACCCCTGGCAGCAAATTGGGTGACATGCTAGTTTCTCTCCGTAAACACAAACCACTAGTCCCAAAACACACTCTGCTTCCCCTGCGCTCACCTCCAGCAGCTCAAAGACCCTGCGCATAGCATAGCGAGCTTCTGGGAAACCTGGTACGCACATGGCAGAATCACAAAGCGGACCTTTTGGCGAATGGCAAAACTGTGCTCCACTTGCCTTGCTCGGGTTCATCGTCTGGAAGTTCCTGTTTCCTGCAAAGAAAAGCAGTTTGCAAGCCTCGGGGGTTGCAAAATTCCTAGTGGCTACAACGGCGTTTGCATGCAACCTTTTAGCGCCGGACAAATCTTTCGCGCGATCAAGTGCGTCCAACTCGATCAAGCACCAAGAGGCCTGATGCGTTGCACCCAAAAGACATGACATCAGTCCAAGCAAAATTGAATGGGTCATCAGTGTGGGCCTGTTTGGCTTACCGTGCAGGTGTTGGCGATACATGCCAACTACAGACCAGGCGTGGGGAGTTATGTGTTCAAAAAAAGCAAATTAAAGGCATATACAAACGGATCTCAGCGAGCCTGTGTCAGTGGATGCACTGCCTTTGGAAGATTGCCGAAGAAGCGGTGGAAAAGTATGGCCTCGACTTGGTTGTCGAATTGCTATGGGGAGATACCAAAACTGGCCCAGCGATTGAGACGCTGGTCAAGGCTTCCCTGGTCTGCACCGCTTCTTTTTCCGACTGACTTCCTCTTACTTCAGCTGCCCGGAGAGCAGCTTGATCTCTTCATTATCAATGCACAACAGTTCACAGTCCAGTGGCAAACTGCTGGAGCGTCTCTTCACCTGGGGCTCGCAGCACAACAGCTGACCACTTGCGTATCTTCAGAACTTGGATCAGTATGAGGCTGGATTTAGGCAGCCTGCCGTTTGCTCCCACTGAGATCCATAATGCGGAAACACGGCACCAGATATTAAATTCAGCCCATCCTTAGTTTGTTGGCGACACTGTCTGCAAGGACAGCCCTATTCAAACGTCTGCGCAACCTGCCTTCCGTGCAAGCCAAGCATCTAAAGAGCTTTCGCGAGACTCGGCAGGAATCACTTCTGGGTCGTCCCAACCCTTCCAGTAGGCAGTGTTACATGTACGACCAGCAAGGATGGCGCCAGCTGAAATGCCAAGGTACCTTGGCTTTGAAGTGGCAAAGGTAGGTGCTGAAAGCTCTTCTCGCGTGATTATGCATGCATGCAAACAAGTCGATCAACATTTGAAATGATGGCACGGTTATACAGCACATCACAAACAACAAATACACACTGTTACATGAAGCTGAAGCTGCGCAAAGGGCGTGTCAGACCGAACATTTCGGAGAGCCCTTCCAAGGCACGCCTTCTTCCTGCCAGGGCAAGAACGTGCGCTATGGGCTTCTGCTTCTTGCGAACTCAAACTCGAACAACGTGGCAATGCGCCAAAGCACGAACTAGAGCAAGTGAAGATTGGTAGGTTGACAGCTGCAGCGCGGGCCCATGCTGACCACGGGAACAATTGCAGGCAAGCTTCGCGTGAAACCACAGCCTGAATTCTCTCATTGTCACAGGACCATGCGTGCTTGCGCAGGAAATGCACTTGTACAATCAAGCAACTACGAAGCCGTTCTTTTGTGTGATTGCCAATCGGTATGTATGCAAACCCTGTCAGTATGCGGTCTGAGGCAAACGATAGCCTGCAATTAATGCGCGCATGTTTTGTGGAATCATTGCAAAGTGCTCTTTTTCCGGTAAAATGTTAACCTTATCCCACAACAAGATACACGAGAGGACAGGCTCATAGCAAGAGACATGAGAGCACATGTCGAACGCACATGCAGAGCAAGATGCACGAAAGCCTATGCATAGCAAGAGACATGAAAGCACACGCCGAGCGCACATACAGAGCAAAACGCTCGAGAGCCCGCGCATAGCAAGAGACACGAGACTACACGTCGAGCGCACATGCAAAGCAAGATGCACGAGAGCCCATGCAATAAACACGACAGCATAGGTCGAGCGCGCAGGCATGCGGAGCAAGATGCGCGAGAGCCCGCGTGTAGCAAGAAACTTGAGACCTCACGTTGAGCCCGCACGCAAAGCAAATTGCACGAGATAACGAGCGCTGCAAGCACACTCGCTTGAGCACACGTGCGGGAGCAAACTTGAACGGAGATCAAAATTGCTCTTTTAAGGCGGCGCATTGGTGTGGTCTAGATTCAAACGCTCAACGCATAGTCCATTTTTGCGATTCCCACGCAATCTCTGCAGTGATCGCCGTTGTCGCTCGTGTGTGGATCAGCCTGGCGATGCAGAGCAAGATGCGCAAGAGCAAGAGACACGAAAGCCCACGCGAGCAAACACATACCAGCACACTGGCACGAATGAACTCATGCGAGCGCTCGCTCTACAAACTTGCACACGCATTCGCACGTGCCCACTTGCGTGAGATAACTTGCAAGGGAGACTTGCAAAGGTTCTTTGGAGGCGGCGAGGTGGGGCCAAACCCCTTTCCGTGGATTGCCGTGGACGATGCCCAACAACTGCGGGTTTTTTCTACGTTTTGCGGCGCTTGCGCGCGCGATCCTCTGCTGGAATCGACGGTTGATGTCGACAAACTGAGAATGTTTTCTACTTTTGACTTGCTAGCCACTTTTTCCAGTCTTTGACTTGCACGCGCGACCTTCGGGATTGGCGTCTTCAATGTCACAGAGGAAATTATCACTTTTCTACTTTTCGACTTGCCCGCGCAACCCGCTCCGGGGGATTGGCGTTGCCCATGTCAAGCAAGCGAGGGCTGCTTCCACTTTTTGCGGCGCGCGCGGGTGGTCGCGATCTCTGCGCGCGTGTGCAAAAACTGAAGTGCTTTGCAACTTTTGGCGGTGCTTGCGTGGAGAACGTCCCTTTGCGTTGAGAACGACGCACGCAAAGACCATGCGCAAAGCAGCTTGGAGAGACATGGTTGCGCAGAGAGCTTACGCAGAGAAATTTGTCGCTTGCTTTGCGTGCAAGTTCGCTCTGCAAGCTTGTTTGAGTCAGTTTCTCAGCAAGTTTCTCTGAGCAAGTGTGTCTCAGCAAGTTTCTCAAGTTATCTGAGCAAATTTCTCTGAGCAAGTTTCTCTCCCCAAGCTCGCGGCTCAAATTTCTCTTCTCCAAGCTCCAAGTTGTTTTGCGCAAGCTTCTCTGAGCAACTTCTCAGCACAAACTTCTGTCCTGCTCAAGCGCAAGTAATCAATGCAAGTTCTCTGGGCGAGCTGCCCGTGCATGTTTCTCTGCGAGCGCAAGTGCTCTGTGCCCCCGTTCTTCTAGTTATTTGTCATTTTGTTTTCTTTAATTATTATTTTGGATAGGCAAAGTGTTTCTGCTCCTTGCAAGGGGAGCTCCCGCAAATGCCGATTCCCTAAGTGGGATTCCGAAAAGCGGAGCCGAGTCCCGCATCCCACAAAATTGGGATTGGGATGCGTGAATGTGGAAATGAGATTCGCAAACCCCCAATCCCCAAATTCAGCGACCCCCGGATCGCCACTCTTGCAAGCAGTCCGCGACAGAGATGTTTCCGACGCTATTGAAAGCAGCGGCTTGTGAACCTGATGGACTGAGATGACGTTTGCTGCACGCCCAAACAAGTACCACGGTCTCTTCGATTCAAACATTGCAGCAAAAATACGCAAGCCCTCGCGGCGCACTAACTTGTTGTTTGTTGATACCCTTGTAAGCAGGAGGCGCGGCTTAACTGCCAATGCTACTGGCGCTACCGCTGCTATCCTCCGAAAGATCAGCGCCTGTGGAGCTGCCAAAAGAGTAGCCGACGGTGAGGGGCTTGCGATATCGATTCGGCATTGTCAGGGCTTCCCTTCAGGGCCCTCAGTGCTACACCAGCCCCCTGCTCATGACGTCAGGGCCCATCACGCAACTGCTGGGACCACACTCTCATGATAGTTGTACTGGTGGTGCAATGCGCCATTCCCAGCCAACACTACAAACACTACAAACACTACGCTCATTCTTCCAGGCAAGTCGACGCTGCCATCCATGACCGGGTCGTGTGACTCTTAGTGCTGTGTAGCCCAAATGGCTACCACTTTCCCAGCGGCATCAAGTCAAGTTGGCGGTAGCATTTTTGAGTGAGTACCCCGTTGATGTGGTTTCTGGCTTGAACCTGCCTACTGAAGGACCTCATATTCCGAACACACGACTCTGATTGAACTTCTTGCCGAAGAGCCAAAACGTGTTCCCGCCGTCCACGACAAGAAGTCCACGGCCATCGGCGCCCAAGGCTGACTTCAGCTTGGCTGTCAACTTCGCAGCGCCTTCCAAACACAAGTTGTACATGGGCAAATACGGGAAGGAACAGCTTGGACGTATTGCGCGTGTATCTCACAGAGGGAGCATGGGTCTTTTGAGGGGCTCCCCGCTTCAATTAAGCAATTTCTTTGGCGCTGGGATTTGCTTCCCAGGATCTCCGTCACTCAGCGCCTCCATCCCCATCATCGTGAACGTCCTGCGCTGTCATCTGGCATACACTAGCGTGCTGGCTTTGATGACACACATAGGCAACGCAGGGCTTGCCGCAATAACAACTCAAGCCACTCCTCCAAGAAGATGTGCTCCACTGATGAAGCTGAGAAGGATTGCCCCAGGATCTTGCACTTGTGCCGAGCTTCGTAGCGCCGTTTTTTTCGCTGCTCCTTTAATGGACGATCCGAGTCTCTGCGTGGAGCCGTCTTGGCAGTACCAACATAAGCCAGTCTCAGTCCAGAGTCCAGGCTCAGTCGTTGACAAATGTTCGTCGAATTGGATGGTTGAATTCGTGATGCCAGCAGTGTCGGTATAGAAGCTGCGGAATCCGCACATCTCCGCGCAACTGTGACGTGCCTTCTGTTTGGCAAGCGTGGCGCCACGAAAGTAGGCGCCCATGCTGCTATAGAATAGTGTGCAATTGGCAAGAGAAGTGAGCTGAGCCACCTCACAGGCTTGCAGAAGCTTGCTCTGCAAACGAATTCGCATGTGGTTTGACACCACGCACACTAGTTGCAGCTTTGCAGTGACAACTGAGGACACCGCAAACTCCTGTAGGGAGGCAGCTTGCGATGCAACATTGACTCCAATTTGCCATAAGAAAGCATCTGTTTGTAGCACACTCTGACTACCGGTTGACAACTCGGTTGCGTGGCTAATTTTTGAAGCTTAACCAGGGACATGACTGCAAATTTGCTCGGCAGTTAAACACTGTTGAATGAATTGTAAACAATTTGATGCTGCATTGTAGGCCTCGCAACTGTGAAGTCTGAACCAGAGCAGCTGCAAGTACATGACATAGAATTGTGACTCACAGGCATACAGCAGCTAATTTTCAGTGACGTGGAAATGCACAACTGCAATTCATGCAGTCATTTCTCCTTCAGTTCATGCCATGGTTTCAAGCACTTGATAGGGGGTGGGTAGAAAGCCCTTCTTCTGCTACAACGAAAAGTCCAAAAAATTAAGGACGGCTGAGCTTCGAGCCAAGAGCGCCTCATGTCCTCAGCGTCATGTGAGCATCATAGGCATCTGAATGTGAACTTGCTTGCAGCATTGGTCACACGCTTGACATTCTGAGCCAGGCTCGGAAGGTACTGCGCCTAAGGGCATCCAGGACCTGCGCCACCGCTTTCGGCTCCCAAGCCTTGCGCCAGCAACCGACATGATGGCGCATGTGTGGCCTTATTGGTCTCTTGACTCCAAAGCAAGTGTTCTTGACGTTTTCTTCAAGGCTCTTGAGCTGCGAGCATTTCCCCACAGCACCGCCACTGCAGCCAACTTTCAACCAACCCCTCTGAAGGAAAAGGAATACCGAATCTGATCAATCCGGCATACCTGCAATGAGAAACGATTGTGATGTTCCTCGTGTTGCTTTCGTGTTGGGCCGGGTTTGATGTTTGTGGCGTTTTGCCGCTGACCGCCTTCGGAGACATAGGATCCGGGGAAGAGTGTCTGTGTATGTGTGTTTTTGAGCGATTGACAAATCCGCCGACCCCCTTCTCCAAAGGGGAGGCGCATGGGAAGGATTTGTCTTTGTCCTTGTCTTAGTGATGATTATCATCACCACTGATGTTGGGTGATGGTTCACAGCATCCGGATCATCATCAGAACCGTGGCGCTCTTCTTTTCATATACGTTTCAAGTGTGCGTTAGACCCGACTGGAAATGCAGAGGATGTGTTGTCATGAATGTGATAACTTCTGCTGATGCTGGGGATGCATAGTGATGACGTTAACTTCTGGTGATGCTGAGGATGCGTAGTGATGATGACGCTGATGAACATGACGATGCAAATGATGATGATGATGAAGATGATGATGATGGTCATGATGATGAAAATGATGATGGTGGTGTTCATCATCATCATCATCAATCATGTTCAGCATCATCATTTTATTCATCATCATGTTCATCATCATCATCATCATCATTTTCGTCATTATGTTCATCATCATCATGATCATCCTGCTGATGATCATGACGCATCCTCAGCATCAGCAGCAGCAGTTCTCACCGTCATCATGTTCATCATCAGTGGCGCTCTTCTTTTTCATGCACGTTTCAAGTGTGCCGTTTGACCCGACTGGCAATGCAGAGGATGCGTGCTTAGTGATGACATTAACTGATGGTGATGCTAAGGATGCGTAGTGATTAGTATCCGGATGATGATGATGATGATGGTGAACATGATGACGAAAATGATGATGATGGTGGTGATGGACATGATGATGAAAATGGTGATGATGATAATGAACATGATGATGATGAGCATGATGATGAACATGATGATGGTGGTGTTCACCATCATCATCATCATGTTCATCATCATCATTTTCATCATCATTTTCATGTGCGCCGTTAGACCTGACTTGAGACGCAGGGGATGCGTAGTCATGATTGTCATAATAACTGCTATAGTTCATGATTGCATTTTGAGGTGTTCCAGACATGACATCCTGGTTCGACCGACACTTTCAGGCGCGCTTTTTCGAATGGCTCTCGCTGTTCTGTCGCCGCTCAGGGCTGTCCCGCCGCGGCCTTGCATCTTTTGCAAGTCCACGATGGGAGCCTGCTTCGCATGTGCTTCCCGCCCGCGGGGGCGCTCTTGACCACAGGGGCAGGGAGGATATCGGCACTTCGCGCAGATGTATGGCTTCTGCTTCGGCTCCAGCGGCCTTTCCTTGCACATTGTGCACTCAGGGAAATCGCAAGCTGGACATTTCCTCGCCTGGCCAGGCTGTACGCACTTGCTGGCTTCGTAACTCTGCATGCCGTGCACTGGACCCAAGCCTGACCTGGCTTCAGCTCCTCACTCTGACAAAGCCCACACACTGCCAAGTGTAAGAGATTGTCTGCCTCCAGTTGCTTGAGCTTCGCTGTGTCGAAGTGCCGCGGCGCCTTGTGCATTGCGCAAGGCCCATAGCATTTGTGCTCCTTCTGTTGCCATGCTGCCTGCGTCCGTTTGGGCGCACTTCTTGTGCACACACTGCAGACTGCCCGCCGCTTCAGATCCTTTTGCTTCTTTAAGACCCGCGCAAGCGGAAACTTGCTCAAGGGCTTCTCTGTTGCACAGGTGCGGCACTGCAGCGCCTTCTTGGCGCAGGAGCTGCAAAGCTGTCCAGACTTGCTTCCTTGGCAGAAGGCACAGGCAGCGCCTGCATCAGGAGCTGCTGGCTCTGGCTGTGGTGGCTTCCCTTCCGTGGCATACAATGCCTTGCGTGCTTGCGCGCATGCGTGCGTGCTTTCGTGCGTGCGTGAGTGCGTGCGCCTGCGTGCGTGCGTGTGAGAGAGCGCGCGCGCCGCGTGTGTGTGTGCGTGCGTGCGTGCGTGCGGGCATGCGTGGGTGGGTGGGTGGGTGGGAAAGTGTGCGTGTGTGCGGGGTGCTTGCGTGACGCGCGAGTGCGTGCGCGCGCGTGTGTGTGCGTGAGCGGGTGGGTGTGTGTTGTGCGTGAGTCTGGTGTGTGTGTGTGTGTGCCTGTGTGTGGGTGCGTGCGTGGGTGGGTGTGCGTGCGTGAGCGCGCGTGCGTGCCCGCGTGTGTGCTTGTGCGCGCGTGCCTGCGTGCGTGCGGGCGGGCGGGCGGTGAAGGGGATATGGCAAAATGACGGGAAATAGCTAGAAAATAGATGGGAAACGTGGAAGATGGATGGAAAACTGAGGGAAGATGTTTGGAAAATGGATGTGTGTATGTGTGCAAGTAACCTGCTTTGCCGTCCTTGCAAGAGCTGTCAGTTCGCGAGGCTGCCGCGGCCGGTTGTGCGCCAGCAACGTAAATCCCCCGAAGGGGGCGAAGAGGCTGTGTAGATCCCTCCCACCCGCTGGGGAGGGTTTACCCCTCCCCTTACCCCTCCCCACAGGGGTGCCCCCCTGTGCCGCCGACCCGGCAGGTTCAAGAAACACAATTCGTTTTGCGCAAACACTGGAAAACACTGTGCTTTTCTACGTTTTTGACGGCTGGAAAGGCGCAAAATGTGGAAACCTGCTTAACAGTGAGGCTATACTGCTCCCCATCTAAGCTTGGCTTTGGGCATGGTTTTCGCTCAAGACATGAGCAAAACACTGTGTTTTTGACACTTTCGCGTGGGCGCAAGGCCTCGGAAAGCGTGAAAAACATAAGCTTTTGCGGAAAGAGCTCAAGTCTGCGCAGCCTGCGCGTTACTACTGTGCACTACCGACCATCTTAGTAGATGTTTTTGCCACACGCTTATGGGCCTGCTCCCTTCCGCAAACGTGCCTCGCGCAAGTTGCCCCGTGCTTCGAACAGATTGCAGTAAACTGAGGCTGCCAGCGCGGCTGGTGGTGCGTCAGCAACGTAAATCCGGCCTGACCCGTGGTCGTGATACGCCAAAGGCCTAGGCTGGAGGCCTACCTTCAGGTATAAGGGGCGGCGCTACCTTCAGGTATTTACGTTGCTGACGCACCACCGGCCGCGCCGGTCCACACACTCACTCACTCACTCACTCACTCACTCACTCACTCACTCACTCACTCACTCACTCACTCACTCACTCACTCACTCACTCACCCACCCACCCACCCACCCACTCACTCTCTCACTCACTCACACTCACTCACTCACTCACTCACTCACTCACTCACTCACTCACTCACTCACTCACTCACTCACTCCACTCTTATGGGGATCAGTATAGCCTCACTGTTAAGCAGGTTTCCACATTTTGCACCTTTCCAGCCGTCAAAAACGTCGCAAAACTGGCGCAAGTTGGGGCCCATGCTCGGGGGGGGGGGTTACCCCAAGAGCCGAATTGTGTTTCTTGAGCCCACCGGCCCACTATGGGCCTCTTCGCCCCTTCGAAGGGCGCGGCCGGATTTACGTTGCTGACGCACCACCGGCCGCGCCGGCAGCCTCGGTTTACTGCAACTGCAATCTCTTCGAAGCACGGGGCAACTAGTGAAGCCTCACCAATAAGCAGGTGTCCGCAAAAAACTTATGCTTTTCACGCTTTCCGAGGCCTTGCGCCCACGCGAAAGTGTCAAAAACAGTGTTTTGCTCATGTCTTGCGCGAAAACCATGCCCAAAACCAAGCTTAGATGGGGAGCAGTATAGCCTCACTGTTAAGCAGGTTTCCACATTTTGCGCCTTTCCAGCCGTCAAAAACGTAGAAAAGCACAGTGTTTTCCAGTGTTTGCGGACGCTCTGACCCTGAGGCTTGCGACACACCGGCTGAGCGACGCTCTGACCGGCGCGGCGCTTGCACTCCTGGGCGGCAGCGATGTCAAACGCTACAACCTCCGTGCGCGGCGCCGGCCAGGAACCGAGAGCGTCGTTCACGGTGGTGTTGTCGGACTCCACGGCATATGGCTCCCAGGGCAAGCTTTGGATTCTGCAGACCCAGTCTTGCGGGAGCCTCACACCGTGGCTAGCATCGTGCGCGGCTGCAGCAAGGCCAACACCAGTTCGTGCAAAAGTGGGTGCTGGACGGAGGGCTAGAAGTTTGTACTTGAGACGCAGGTGGAGGTGGGATTGCGCCAGCCAGAAAGTCCGTGAGGGCCAGGGCAGGAGTTACCCTGCGCTGGAATTGGTTGCTGTCATCCTAGTCAAAGGAAGTTTAGAAGAAAAAGAGAGAGAGAGAGGTCAAACTACATGCTTCACTTTGCGCTGTATGTTCACTACCGCAGGCCTTGAGCTTACTACTCCGCATGAGTCAAAAGGTTGGCAGCTGCAGACTACATTGGTTGACTGTTTGTTTGAACACTACAGCACTTGCACTTGTAAGCAAAGTAACAACCAATTTTAACGTGGTAGCGGAGCCAAGATCCTAAACATAGGGGAGCTCCAGTAAGCAGTAAGTACTACAACAACAGAGCAACAGCAGCTACATGCCAAACTACTACGACATGTCAGGAGAAGCAGCATCAGCCTCAGCACAACAAACTACAGGAGCAGAGAACGGGCCAACAACAGACACAGCAGGAGCCACGACTACGGGAGCAGGAACAGAACAAGACAACGACGTTCAGAGACTACATAGATACAAACTGCCACCACCCTTCTTCATTGGTGACTACTCCCAGTATGAAGAATGGCTGTTCAAGCTACAAGCATGCCTCGGCCTCATAGACCGAGACTTCGACCTGGTGCTACAACTAGCACAAGTGGCTACACGACAGATTGAGGACACAGA